GCAGTATCACTACGGAAGTAGGATTGCCCAACCTTCCTTTCGAGGAGTGGCTGGTGGGTTTGAACTGCCAGCCATCTGGTTAGCAGGCAAGTGTCTTAGCCACTATGCTACCAGAGCCAACATTAGTGATGTGGATAGAGTAAAGCTTTTGGGACTTCCATTTGCTGATGTGGCATGACTCAAAATGGAAGAAAGAACTGCAAACATCCATTAATAATTAGAACATGGAATGCATGAAGTATGAATCTAGGAAAATTGGAAGTTGTCAAAAAGGAAATGGAACACATAAAGACTGATATCCTCAGCATTAGTGAGCTGAAATAAACTGGTTTGGGCCATTTTGAATAAGATAACCATATGATCTACTAAGCCAGCAATGGCAAATTAAAGAGGAATGGTGTGGCATTCATCGTCACAAAGAATGTTTCAAGATCTATTCTGAAGTACAATGCTGTCAATGATAGGATAATATTCATATGCCTACAAGCAAGATGAGTTAATACTACTATTATTCAAATTTTTCCAGCAACCACCAAAGCCAAAGATGAGGAAATTGAAGATTTTTACCAAAATCTGCAGTCTGAAATTGATGAAATATGCAATCACGATGTGTTGATTATCACTGGTGGTTGGAATGCAAATTTTGGAAACTAAGAAAAATCACTGGTAGTTGGAAAATATGGCCTTGGTGGTAGAAATAATGCTGGAGATAACGTGAAAGAATTTTGCAAGACCAATTTCTTATTCATTGCAAATACCCTTTTTCAATAACATAAACAGCAGCTACACATGTGGACTTCACCAGAGGGAGTAAACAGGAATTTGATTGACTATATCTGTGCAAAGAGGCCATTGAGAACCTCAATATCATCAGCCAAAATAAGGCCAGGAGCTGACTATGGAAGAGACCATCCATTTCTCATATGTAAGTTCAAGTTGAAACTGAAAACCATTAAAACAAGTCCATGAGAGCCAAATATGGCCTTGATTATATCTGTCCTGAGTTTAGAGACCATTTAAAGAATAGATTTGACACATTGAACACCAACAACTGAAAACCAGATGAATCATGAGATGACATCAAGAACATCATGCATGAAGAAAGCAAATGGTCATTAAAAAGACAGGAAGGGAAGAAAAGACCAAAATAGATGTCAGAAAAGATTCTAAAATTTGCTCTTGAATGTAGAGTAACTAAAGCAAATGGAAGAAATGACAGATAAAAGAGCTGAACAGAAGATTTTAAAGAGCATCTCAAGAAGACAAAGTCAGTTATTATAATGGAATGTGCAAAGACATTGAGTTAGAAAGCCGAAAGGGAAAAACATGCTCAGCATTTCTCAAGCTGAAAGAACTGGGAAAAAAAAAAAAAATAATAATGATTAAGGCTCGAGTTGCAATATTGAGATTTTATGGGCAAAATATTGAATGACTCAGGAAACATCAAAACAGGATGGAAGGAATACACAGACTCACTGTAACAAAAAGAGTTGGTTGATATTCATCCATTTCAGGAGGTGGCATGTGATCAAGAACCAATGGTATTGAAGGAAGAAATCAAAGGGTTGTATCCTTTCACCATACTTATTCTGTCTGTATGCTGAGCAAATAATCTGAGAAGCTAGACTATATGAAGCATGACATTGAGATTGGAAGAAGACTTATTAAAAACCTGTGATAATGCAAATGACATAAGTTTGATTCTGTAAGTGAGGATGACTTGACACACTTTCTGGTGAAGATTAGATACAATAGAGTGCAGTATGGATTATATCTTAACATAAAGAAAATGTAAATCCTCACTTCTCGGCCAATAAGCAGCATCAAGATAAATGGAGAAATAAATGGAGAAAAGTTGTCAAAGATTTCATATTACCTGTTTCCACAATCAACGCCAATGGAAGCAGTAGTCAAGACGTCAGATAACGTATTGAATTGGGAAAATCTGCAAAAGACCTTTCAAGTGCTGAAGGGCAAAGATAAATCTTTGACGAATAAGTTGTTCCTAACCTAAGCCATGGTATTTTCAATGCTTCATATGCATGTGAGAGCTGGACAATGACTAAGGAATACTGAAGACGAGTTGATGCTTTTGATTTGTGGTGTTGGTGAAGAATGCTGAAAGTACCATGGACTGCTAAAAGAACTAACAAATCTGCCCTAGAAGAAGTGCAGCCAGAATGCTCCTTGGAAGTGAGAATGGCCAGACTTTGTTTGACCTTGTTTGGTCATGTTGTCAGAAAGGATCATTCCCTATAGAAGGATATGATGCTTGTTAAAGTGGAGAGTCAATGTAAAAGGGGAAGGCCCTCAAGGAAATGGATTGACATAGTGGCTGCCATGATGGGGTCAGCTATAGCAAGCATTGTGACGCTGGGACAGGACCAGGAAGTGTTTTATTCTGTTGTAAATGAGGTCACTATGAGTCAGGGCCTACTCCAAGTCACTTTAACAATTCCATTCACAGTAGAATGTTCTGAATTAGATTTGCATTTAAACACACACAAATAAAAATAAAATAAAAGCCATTTATTCTTATAACTAGGCGATAGTAGCTCAGAATGTGGGCCAAAATTCCCCAAGGAAATCAACTTAAGAAAACTACTTGAATGAAGGTGATGATTGAGTCTTCACAGTTACAAGTCTCTGTTGTATATCTTCTTTTTAATCAGGAGTACTGACGTTGTAACCTGCATGATAAAGCAAAACAATTTCTGTGAAACTTTTGTAGAAATGAATTGGTGTTCCTAACTTACTAGGCAACATGCAAAAACATACAACTTTAAGTTTTGGGGCACTTTTCAGGCTGCTACAGAATTTGCATAAGGTGGAAAATAATTGCTAATGAATTAGGAAGCAAAAGCCAACTTTGATTATATTCTAAGTGCCATCAATTAAATCAGAGAATTCCACAGGAATTAGAAACATTCTCATATCATTCAGGAAAAAAGGAAAATTAAGGATAACAATATTGTGCATGTTTGCTATTCTATTTTTATGGCAGAGACTTGTTGCCCAATCTCAGTTATCTTCTTCTAAAGAGGTATTTCCTTCTTACCCCATCATTTTATAGATATAAAATTTAATGTGGACTCAAGTAGGTCAAAGGAAGAGAATATCTAGGCATTAGAATGCAAGTGAAGTCAATAAACAGATATGTTGCAGGACGTTTGTTAAAATGAGTTCATGTTAAATGTCACTTAAGTGTATATATGCTCAAACTGCAGGACAACAATATGAAGCCCTTTATACACAGCTCATGTATCTATGTGGGGGTACTGATGAGGTAGGTGTTAGCATTCTCATTCACCAGATGAGAATACAGAGTCTCCATTGAGCTCACTAACTTGCATGGAATCTCACAGCTAGAATGAAACAGAGTGAGGTTTCAGATCCAGTACTAAAGCCAAATCCTGTGCTAGTTCCACTAAGCCCAGACTTTAACAGTTGTAATGAGAACATTTTACAGGAAAGATTGGATGATTTGCATGCCCCTGCTAATTGAGTTTCATCAGTCTGTAGATGCCACCTTTCTCCATGGTAGTTGCAGACCTCCATGTAATTTGTTGTGCTATTGGAATTGCTTCCCATAAGGTTTATTTGATCAAGTCTGTGTTTTTTTGGAAATTGAATACAAATTCCTATATGTGTAAAAAATGAGTCCAGGAGTTGGATATATTTGACTTTTCTACAAATTCTTTCTAGTCTGTTTTCATGAGTCCTCATACTTTAACCAACTCTACAGAGAATACTGCTCTCTTCCTAATGTCCTAGTCTTTGTCATTTAAAATTCATTCAGTCTTCTACACGTTACACACCAGAAAAACACAAACCAGAATTGCTAGGACCAAATTTTTGAAAGTTAAGATGATCCAAGTAAAATTTCCCTATACCATGTTTTAGGACAACCTACTAGTTAACATCAAGGCAATTCCAACTCGTGGAGACCTTATGTGTTGCAGAGTAGATCTTTACTACATAAGGTTTTCAAGATTGTGACCTTTTGTAAACACATAGGCCTTTCTTCTGAGATACTTCTAGGTGGGTATGAACCACCAATCTTTTTGTTAAGAGTTGAGTGCTTACATGTTGGCTGGGACTTTGTCATCTTTATTTCTAGAAAAATTAGCCAACACATGACAGTCACTCTGCAAATACCTGCTGGACTGCACCTAAACATCAGGATCAAAACCTTAGTTCTCACTTGTAGCTGTATAATCTTGTTCAAGGAATTTAACCTTAGGGCCTAAGGCAACCAGAAGGCTAGTGCTTCAAACCCACCAGCCACTCCTCAGAAGGAAGGTTGGGTAATCTACTTCCACAGTGATACCAACTTGGGAACCAAGGGGGAGGTTGCTACGAGTCGGTTCCGACTCTATGGCAATGGTTGTGTTTGTTTTTGTAAGCATCAATATATCCATCTGTAAAGAAAACTGATGACTGGCACTTTCATAATTATAGTGTAGAGAACATTTTATAATCTCTGTGAAAAATCTCCACACAGTGCCTGGCACATAAAACAAAACAAAACCTCTTGCTGTGAGCTGATTTCAACTCATAGCAACTCCATATGTTACAGAGTAGAACTGTTTCATAGGGTTTTCTTGGTTGTAGTCTTTACAGATAAAGATTGCTGGGCCTTACTTCTATACCACCACTGGATGGATTCAAAATACCAGTCTTTAGATTAATAAACTCAATAAAACCAAACTTGCTATACTAAGTCTATTCCAACTTATAGAGACCCCCATTGGGTTTCTGAGGTGTAAATCTTTACAGAAGTATATTGCCCCATCTTCCTTCCAGAAAGCAGCTGGTGTTTGGACCACCAAGCTTCAAGTTAGCAATCAAATGACTCAGGCATTGCACAACCAAATTCAAACATTTGTACCACCCAGGGACACAGCTGGGGACATAAGAGATGATTAACAAGGGCTTACACTTTTCTAGAATATTTGACTAAATGTTTCAGTGTGTGCTCTCCCTCTTGTATTTTACAGAGGTTTCTGCACTTTTCAAAGCTGGCACTTCAGTTACATATATGTTTCAAGAACCTTACCCTGTGACCAAGAATATAAACATCTCATCCTCAGCTATTTATGTGGATGTGGCTCCATCCAAGGAGAATATTGCATTTAGCTTTATGACAACACAAGCACCCAGCCTCTTGCTCTACATCAATTCCTCTTCTCAGGACTTCCTGGCAGTCCTACTCTGCAAAAACGGTGAGTGTTAATGGTGTGATGTAAAATGACATTCCACTTACTTTCCAGAAAACTGCATAATTTCAACCTAAATTTAGTCCAAACTGGGCACCTTATTTCTACATTTCTAGCCAAACTCTTGACTATACTTTAACTTTATGGGTTGCAATTAGTATTCAAGGCCAGTGCCACCTTACTTCTGTAGTCTCAAGTGCTTTGATTTCAATTTTCCTCAAGTGTAGCAACAATTCTTTATTACTTATTCCATGCTGGAATCCATTAAGTGTAAAGGAGAAGATCATAAGCAGATCTGCATTTAAGAAGGATGAGTCACATATATCCTGTCATCTTTGCTGCAATCCTCTTTACCAAGGGCTGTTACAACAACTTGCCTAAGTGCAAACTGCATTAACAAAAGTTTGTTTTCTAGGTTTTCAAAGTAGTATATGCAAGTCATAACCTTCTGGGGGAGGGGTTGGTTCTAAGAATCAGACTTTGGAGAGGATGTGGATGAAATAAATGAAACATGAGAACATCATTGTGATTAAGGAGCTGGAACTCAATTCATATGAGAGATTGGAAAAACTTTGTTATGATAGCTGTTAGGAGAAGTTGTGTTTTCTTCCCATACAACTAAATTCCTCCTTCAAGAATGAGAACTGTTGATAGTCATGGTGAAGGACACGATTAGTTAAAAATCCTGTGAGGATGAAATAAGTGTTATAATAGACTTAGAGGGCAAAGATGTAGACATCCCTACAATGAGATCTCATACTATGTATGAGTATAATCCCTGTGACCAAGAGTATAAATTTCCTCCTTGTGATAGTTGAAGATGTGTCAACTTGGCTGGACTTCACTTGTGAGTGGTGGTTCCCATGATGGATCACATGACTGCGTCCTAAGCGGCCGGTCAGTCTAGGGGGAGTTTCCCCAGGGGTGTGGCCTACCTGTAACACTATCCCAGGAACAAACTGGAAAAACGGCATTCCAGATATATGCTT